AATGGATAAACAAACTATAGTACATCCATATAATGGGACATTTTCCAGTGCTTAAAAGAAATGAGCTATCAAGCCATGAAAGGATATGAAAGAACTGTTGGTCCTTTTTTTTTTTTTTTTTTTTTAATGCTGGCTCTATGCCCAATGTGGAGCTGAACTTACTTACAACCCTGAGATCAAGAGTTGTATGCTCTACCAACCCAGCCAGCCAGGTACCCCCATAAGAGCATATTTTTAAAAGTGAAAGAAACCAATCTAGAAAGGCTACATACTATATGATTCCAACTATACAACATTTGGGAAAAGGCAAAACTACAAATATGGCAAAAAAATCAATGGTTGTCTGGGGTTGTGGGGAGAAGGGGACGAATAGGTGGAACAGAGAGGATTTAAAGGACAGTGAAACTGGGCAGCCCAGTGGCTCAGCAGTTTAGTGCCGCCTCCAGCCCAGGGTGTGATCCTGGAGACCCGGATCAAGTCCCACATCGGGTTCCCTGCATGGAACCTGCTTCTCCCTCTGCCTGTGTCTCTGCCTCTCCTTCTCTGTATGTCTCTCATGAATAAATAAATAAAGTCTTTTTTTTTTTTTTTAAAGGAAAGGGATCCCTGGGTGGCACAGCGGTTTGGCGCCTGCATTTGGCCCAGGGCACGATCCTGGAGACCCGGGATCAAATCCCACATCAGGCTCCCGGTGCATGGAGCCTGCTTCTCCCTCTGCCTGTGTCTCTGCCTCTCTCTCTCTCTCTCTCTGTGTGACTATCATAAATTAAAAAAAAAAAAAAGACAGTGAAACTATTCTGTAAGATACTGTAATTGTGAATATCACAACTGTCACAGTGTTATTATACATTTGTCAAACCCATAAAATAGGGAACCTGGGTGGCTCAGGCAGTTGGACATCTGCCTTCAGCTCAGGTCATGATCTCAGAGTTCTGGAATCAAGTCCTGCATCAGGCTCCTTGCTCAGCGGGAAGTCAGGTTCTCCCTCTGCCCTTCCCCCTGCTTCTGATCTCTTTCTCAAATAAATAAAATCTTAAAAAAAAAACCCATAGAATGTACATCAAAAGTGACCCCTAATATAAACTATGAACCTCAATAATAATGTATCAGTATCAATTTATCAATTGTAACAAATTGTACCACACTAATAATACATATTTTTTTTAATTTTTTTTAATTTTTATTTATTTATGATAGTCACACAGTGAGAGAGAGAGAGAGAGGCGCAGAGACATAGGCAGAGGGAGAAGCAGGCTCCATGCACTGGGAGCCCGATGTGGGATTCGATCCCGGGTCTCCAGGATCGCGCCCTGGGCCAAAGGCAGGCGCCAAACCGCTGCGCCACCCAGGGATCCCAATAATACATATTAATAACAAGAGATACTGTGTGTCTAGGGTACAATGCCTATATGGAACTCTATACCCTGCTTAATTTTTCTATAAATCTAAAACTATCCTTAAAAGCCTCAATAGTTTTTTATTTATTTTTTAATTTTTTTAAAGATTTTATTTATTTATTCATGAGAGACAGAGCGAGAGAGAGGCATAGACACAGGCAGAGGGAGAAGCAGGCTCCATGCAGGGAGCCTGACATGAGACTTGATCCCAGGTCTCCAGGATCATGACCTGGGCCAAAGGTGGCACGAAACCACTGAGCCACCCGGGCTGCCCCTCAATAGTTTTTTAAGAGAAAGCTTAAAAAGCATAAGATAAAAATTATTCAGCCAGTGTTATGTGCTTTGCTGGCCCAGGGTTTAAGTCCCAGATCCTGAACCAGCCTCAGTTTCCACCCCTGGGTTTAAGAGTCGTGCTTTATAGGGTTGGGTTAAGGGTTCCAGAACTCTTGTCATTGCAGTATGACAGCCAAAAATTATGTTGCCTAAGTAATTTCCAGGGAAAAGGAGAGGAGTGGCCTCATGGCCAGGAGATGAACAGGGCAGAGAGGACCAAGAGGCACCCTCTGCAGAGATGTCACTCAACGGTTTCCCAACTGTGAATAGACACTGGAAAGTACCTGGCCCCAGCCCAGCCTTCACCAGGCCAGCTAGTCTGCCAGCCTCTATGAATCACAGCTTCACGGGGCCTGGGGCAGCTCCTCCAAGGAGGCAAGCAGGGGGGCTAGCTATATAAACCACAATCCAGGGCAGTGGAGGTGGGAAGGTACCTACAGAGCAAGGGGGGCCAAAAGGACCACCACCTTGCCCTGGTGTGTCCCTTCTCCTGTAGGAAGGGGAAAGCCCCTAATCACTGTCTTCATCCATAAAGTAGCTCTACCAAGGCCAACACCCAGGGTGGCAGTAGGAGAGAAAGCTTAAATGTCATTATTCTACCAAGCAGTGAATGGAATTACTGCTGCCATACCAGCAACTGATACGGAGTCTCACGGCAGCTGCAAAAAGAGGGAAAAATCTGGGTTTCTGAACACATGGTTTAACTTCCCCAATCCCCAGTCTCCTCATCGCTAATATGGGAATAACACAGTCCTTAATCTCCCAGTTTCTGTATCAATTCAGTAAGGGAGTACCTGCACAGGGCTTAGCAACCTGCCTGGCACAGAAGTATCCTTAAGGGAGAGCTCCCTGTGCCTTATTATAAGGTATGAATGCCACCCCAGCCAACTGGGTCATTCTAGATAAATCACCATCCCTGCCAGGGTTCCTTGCTCAGCTCTGAGGACAGAGGAAGCCACTGCATTGCCACCATTAGGAAAGGAATTTATTGCCTTGTGGGTACTGGACTGGGAACTTGGACAAACTGAATCATGTGGACAAGGTCTTGGCACCCAGAGAGCTAGGTTAGGAAAAAAACACTGTTGCAAAAAAGCAAAATGTACTCAACAGCTGTGGGAAAGACTTCTAAGCCCTGGAAGAGAGTTGTTAAAGAGGGTCCCATTTAATGGAAGAAGGGGGCCATTGAGCAACAGAGAGCCTGGCTCCCCATCAAAGCAAGTGTTGTCTGCAGTTCTATCCTTGGGCTCTGGGGACCCAAGTAGACTGGGTCTGACTCCACAGAGAAAGCGGCCAGAAGGAGGACAGTCCTGACTCACCTGGCAAGGGGAGGTGGCAGCAGCTGAATCCATACCTGTGAGAGTGTCAGGGCCTGAGAACTGTTGGCCAGGCACAGCGGGGTAGAAAGCAGCCAACTTGTAGCAGGTGGATTTTGGAGATTTCCACCCAGCACAGAGGGCTGGAGACAGAGTATAGGTTCAAATTGCAGCTCCATCACCTACTGGCAAACTTGAGCAAGTGACATAAACCCTGGGCCTCAGCTGCCATCTATAAAATGGAGATATAGAAGCACCCACTGCACAGCATAGTAGTGAGGATTTGATATCAAGCCTGTTCAGCATTTAAACATGGTGCTTACCCAGAGCAAATGGCAGCAGCTGTTATTACTGTCCTTTAGGGGTGGGCTGGAACCAAGCCCTCCTACCTGCCTGCCCCCTCCCTCCCTCTGACTTGGGTCCCACCTTCACATCGGCCTGTTAATGTGTAACTACCTGGACTGAATCACATTAGAGAGGTGCAGAGCCTGGAAGAGCCTCTGCCTCCACCACTGCCTCATGCATGAATCTCCTCCACAGCTGGCCAAGTCTCTCCTTCCATGCTTCCACTAATGGGGGGTGTTCCACATTTGGAAGGCTTTGACCACAAGTCCTCTAGGTGGAGCTGCAAACTGCCCTTCGGTGGAAGTGATTTTTCTGCCAGGGACTTTCCAGTGTCTGGAATCCACCCATCCCACAAATGCTAGGATCACCCTGAGGAGGGCCCCACGCAGTCCTCCAGGAAGTCTTCCTGAGCCCCACACAGAGCACCTCATGCAGAATGGCAGTCCCTTTAAGGACACCTCCGTCCCCCAACACCTGGGTCCATGAGGCAGAAAGTCTTGGGTGTTCCCAGACCTGACACTAATAATAGTTCATATGCACTGCCTCACAAAACCCCTGTGAGAGATGTATTATTTTTACCCCAATTTTTAAAATTGTGGTAAAATACACATAGTACATAAAGCCTTAACCATTTCTAAGTGTACGGTGCAGTGGTATTCAGTACATTCACATTCTTGTGCAGCCATTACTAACCATCTCCAGAACTCTCTTCATCTTGCAAAACTCAAATCCTACAAGCATGAAATAACAAATCCTCCAGTTCCTGGCAACCACCACTCTACTTTCTGCTTCCATAATTTAGACAACACTAAGTACCTCATATAAGTGGAATCATACAGTATTTGTCTTTCTTTGCCTGGTGCATTTCACTGAGCAGAACATCCTCCAGGTTCATCCATGTCAAAACGTCCTTCCATTTTAAGGCTGAGTAATATTCCACTGCATGTGTATACTACATTTAGTTTATCCATTTATTTGATGGACACTTGAGTTGCTTCCGCAAACAATACTGCTATAAATATGGTTATCCTATTATTTCAAAATCCTGCTTTCAATTCTTTGGGGAATATATCCAGGAGTGGGACTGCTGCATCATATGATAGTATGATTCATATTAATTTGGGGGGGAACTGCCAAACTGTTTTTCAGAGCATCTGTACCATATTGCAATCCCATCAACAGCACACAAGCATTCCAATTTTTCTGCATCCCTGCCCACACTTGTTATTTTTTGTTTTTTTAATAGTAGCCATCCTAAAGCATATGCAACTTATAGGGAGAGTCTATTTTTATCCCTCCTTCACAGCAAAGTGGGACAGGAGAAGCACTGACTTGCCCAAGGTCACACAGGCAGCACAGTTCAGAGCTAGGATAGAGGCTGTCTGCGACTGTCTAGTGCTCTCAATAACCCCCATCTCAGCAAATGCTTGTTGTCCACCTGGTCAGTGGCCCTCCACCCTGGGGCTCCCGAAGTCCTCAGAGCTCCATTCAGGGCCTGGCTAGAGAGGAGGAAGTGATATAGAAGAGGACCTCCCCACCCCCACAACAACCCCAGGCCCTGGATCTCCCAGACCCAGTCGACCCTGAAATTAGCATCCAACAAAGGACTTACCCTGCACAGCCGCAGAGCTTTTCACCTGGAGGCCTCTTTAGGGGGCCTCCCTCTTGGGCTGGTCTGGCTGAAACAGAGTGGGGTTCAAGGCTGGCTCCACAGCATCTGGAAGGGAGTACAGGAGGGGAGGCAGGGAGGGTCTGGGGGTACCCATGCAGCTTATAAATTCCGTTTTTTCCCAGCGCAGTGGAGCCAGGACCAGAGTGGCTGGAAGGAGGGGTAGGGCTACAGGGAAGGACCTGTGAGGTTACTCAAGCAACTAGCATTCAGATGCAGAGTTGGCACATCCCTGGCACTACCACGTCCCACCTACATGACTATGAGCAAGCTAGTATGCCCTACACCTCAGTTTCTTCTGAAAAACCAGGAAACTAAGTTACAGCTTGCAGGGAGCTGTGGGTACTAGAGATCCACAATGCCAGGCTGCAGACTGGACGCCTGTTGTGCTGGCCTGCTGCCTCCTCCCATACCCCTGCCTGCCCCACCTCTATCCCACGCTGCTCTGCTCTCAACAAATGGGGGACAGGCAGAGCCTGGAGATAAAGGGTCGGGTCTCCCAAGTGACTTTCAGGAGTAACACATCTGAATGTATTAGCTCTGGTTTGTTTCTTAGAAAAACAAATAAATAGGCAACACCTGGTTGGCTCAATCCAAGGAGCATGTAACGCTTGTATTTCACGGGGTTGTGAGTTTAGGCCCCAAATTGGGTGTAGAGATTACTTAAACTCATAAAACTTTTTTAAAAAACAGTAAGTCGGGATCCCTGGGTGGCGCAGCAGTTTGGCGCCTGCCTTTGGCCCAGGGCGCGATCCTGGAGACCCGGGATCGAATCCCACGTCGGGCTCCCGGTGCATGGAGGCTGTTTCTCCCTCTGCCTGTGTCTCTGCCTCTCTCTCTCTCTCTGTGACTATCATAAATAAATAAAAATAAAAAAAAAAAAACAGTAAGTCCTCCAGATAAACAAAGATATGGTCACAAAGATGTTTGCTACTGTATTATTTATAACAGTGATAATTTGGTAGCACACTGAATTTTATCCAAAGGGATTGAGTGGGGCAGCCCTGGTGGCTCAGCGGTTTAGTGCCGCCTTCGGCCCAGGGTGTGATCCTGGGGACCTGGGATTGAGTCCTGCGTCGGGCTCCCTGCATGGAGCCTGCTTCTCCCTCTGCCTGTGTCTCTGCCTCTCTCTCTCTCTCTCTCTGTCTCTCATGGATGAATAAATAAAATCTTAAAAATAAAAAAATGTTATGATGTAAAAAAAAAACAAAAACAAAACAAAGGTATTGATTGAATTAGCATCCTACCGTGGAATGGGATAGTATATGGCATTTCCATGGCAATAAATGTTGAATGTGTGTGTGTGTGTGTGTGTGTGTGTGTGTAAAACACAGATTACAAGTCATGTATAGATGATCCCATATGACACAGAAAAAAAGAAGAAATATAGAATATACTGGGCCTACCTCAGGCCTCTGGAATCAGAATTTAACAAAATCCTCAGGTGATTCACATGTAGATTACAGTTTGAGAAGTGATAAAGTAAGGCACTGTCTGTCTGGAGAGTTGCCCAGTAAAATATTATTAGGGGATGGTTACCTCTAGGGGAGTGGGATTAGGATTTTCTTTCCTTCCTCTGCTTTTCTGAATTGTTAGTATTTTTTTCTAATAAACGTCATAAAACCAATAAGGCCATTAAAATGCTTTCAAAGATATAAGATCCAGGTGCCTGGGTGACTCAGTTGGTTAAAGCAGACAATAATAAGTGTTGGTGAAGATGTGGAAAAATTGTAAGCTCTCCAGGTGTGGCCACTGGTTCTTCCTGGCTGGGACGCACAGACAGAACTTTCCTGGTAGCCCCTGGGAAGTTCAGGAGACTGGTTCCCAGGCTAAATGCAGCTCAGTTCCCAGGGGACACAAACCCCTACTGGTGGGCATGGCTGTCATGCATAAGTGTGTAAGATAGCCATAGGCACCTTTAACTGTGGAAGCTATGGGCCTGGAGGCCAAGTTCTCAGACCTTCCAGGGAGTCTCTGGGGTTAAAAGGCCACATTGTCCACTTCAGACAAAATGCCTCTACCTAGACTGAGTCAGGTACTGCCACTGGACAGTATTGCCTGGGAGGTCAGGGTAGGGAGAGCTTCAATTTCCCAAGACATTCTGCACACCCCCAGAGGGAAAGAGCTATAGGAAGCCTAATTGCCCTGAACCATTAACTGAGGCAGAACAGAGAGACCCACCCATTCTGGTGGTAGGGCTGGGATCAGAACCCCAGAACCTAACACCTCAACTTCTAGGCCAGGCTCCTGAACCTATTCACTCCACTGAACCTATCCTTAGAATCCCACTCTGTGTACCTATTTATTTGGGGGTGCCTTTAAAGCCCCTGGGATGGCATAGAAGGATGGGTACTTTTCAGGCCTCCAACACCATCCCTCAGAGCTGCCAAAACAAGCAACCCCAAATTGGCTTAAATCACCACATCCTTAAGATGAAGTCCAAATTCTCACTTGACTTTTGAGGGTCCTTCAAATTTGACCCCCCCGGACTCCTCTCACTTCATACCCTACTCTTCCAGCCCTGGAACTTCCCACCCTTCCCCCAAAGTCTGCTTTCTCCCACTTCTACTGAACAGCTTATTCTTCCTTCTTAAGCAGGGGGCTGTTCCAGAGCACCCAGGCTGCTCAGTCACCATCTCCTCTGTTCCATGAAGGACTGTGTCTATATCAAGAACATGGGAGTTTCCACAGCTGGCTAGCCAGCCCAGTAAACCAAGAAAATGAACATGTCAGTTTTCTGCTTGTCTTTTATGGCTAATTCTGGTATCTTCCTAAAGGCTCTGGAGCATGACCTTGACCTTCCACAGTAATGGGCCCCTATGTGCCAAATGTTTTACCTATGTTATCGCATGTAATTCCCTGGCACAGACATTAATATTTCCATTTCACAGATGAAGAAACTGATGCTCAGAGAAATCTAATGACCACCTATAGGACTGGAACCCAGTCTGACCAGCCTGTGCTTATTCCACTGTGCCTCATAGATGGCCTCCCAGTAACCTACTAGAGTGGGAAACAGGGAGTACCACTAGACCACTGGTGAATTCTCCACTCTGTCCAGGGCTCCTTTAAACCTGTGCTTTGGGGATCCCTGGGTGGCGCAACGGTTTAGCGCCTGCCTTTGGCCCAGGGCGCAATCCTGGAGACCTGGGATCGAATCCCACGTCGGGCTCCCAGTGCATGGAGCCTGCTTCTCCCTCTGCCTATGTCTCTGCTTCTCTCTCTCTCTCTCTCTCTCTCTGTGACTATCATAAATAAATAAAAATTTAAAAAAAAATTTAAAAAATAAATAAAATAAACCTGTGCTTTGACACAAGTAACTGAGAGATGGAAGGGTGACTTCTAGATCAGATGGCCAAAGGCCAAAAAACCTTCAGAAGGAAAGATGTAGACATGAACTGCTGTCCTCCAACACCCAGCTCTCCAGCCATTACCCAGATAGGGTTCTAAGGCAAAAAAAATCCTCTATCGGGGTGAAGCCTTTCACTCATTATAATGGGGCAGGGTTAAAAAGAGTCAGGGAGTCAAGAAGATGCTCTTGAGATGACCTCCCCTATTCTGTCAACTAGTAAAATGGAAGAGAAGCCACAGGCTTGAAGAACCTTCCAGGGGTGCTTAATGAGTGCCAGACATTGTGCCAAGTGCTTTTACAAATCCTGTATCACTAATAAATTTTATAATCTCTATTCTACATGTGAACTAATTGAGGCACAATTATTTGGTGAGAGTTCAAAGTCAGGCAGTTATGTATACAAACCCAGGCTTGCCTGCCTTCAAAGGTCAAGTCTTAAGCACTATGGAGACTACCTCCTTTCTATTTTAGCAGAAGTGCTGCCAAAGTGAGCACCAGACTACCTCCTTCCTGAAAATCCTCAGAGAAAGCAAGTTCCTTACCCACCCCCTTATACCATCATGGTCCTGGAAATTAGGAATTAGTCACATAATTAAGTGAGCTCACCCCATGTGCAACATGAGCTGAGCTACAAAAATGTTCTTGCCCTTTGGCCCAAGTGTTCATTCATTCTGGATGGAGAATAAACTCCAAGGAGAGGGGGGAAAAATCTAAAATAACAGGAAAAGTTATTTTCATAGTGTTGCCTGTAAAGGCCGAATTACTAATTGCAAAACACCTGGAAGCAACCCAGCCTCACAACCAAGGGACGAAGAATGCATGTGCCAAGATGGGTTAATGAAGTGGATACCGCACAAACCATTAAGTATTACCTACAGTAGTTGGTTTGGTACATTTAAAATAAATGCAAAAAAAAAAAAAAGTAAAAGTAGAACTCATTTTAATTTCAGAATATCATCTGAATAAGGAAGACTCACCTATGCCTTTTTCTCCTCCCCCGCCCTTTTTTTTTAAAAAGAACTTTAAATCAATTAATTTTGGACTAGGGAATTCATGCATGTGGTAACTCACACCATAGTACCTAAAGACCTAAGGCAGTATGCAGTGGAGCAGCCCCCAGTAACCCACAACAATCATTTTAAAATGTAGGTTTGTTGGTATACAAAACTCAGAAGAGGACATGGAAAAAGTAACTTGCTTTATGGTTATTTGGATCTGCTTTTTCTCCTGCAAGGCTGAAGAAACACGCAGAGAATTCACACCATTTCTGAGACAGTTCAGAGCTTCTTGGCGGGGGCTGTATTTTCAAGGCTTGCTCTAATCCCTCTTGTTGTGATCTGTGAAAGCAGCAGCTAAATTGAGGTGAAATCAGGAAAAGGAAACCACGTGAGAAAAAAAATGAATGCCTTACCTGTTCACCCACGAGGATGAGGTCTTCTAGGGCCTTGCTGAAGTTTTTGAGGGGCTCCACAGCTGGAGCAGGTGCCCAAGAACTGGGGGCAGTGGATGCCAGGTGGGAAAGGCTGCGGCTTCCCCTAACCCACAATCCCGGCTTCCCGACTGATGAGAAGGGCGGGGAAAGCAGGCCACAGCAGCTGCCGATTCAGAAACTGAAGCCAGCAAGGGCGGGGCAAGGCCACGTGTCCCCAGCCTGCCTTGGGAGTGCGGGTAGGAGGAGGTCACAAAACCAGAGGATCAGCCAGGAACTCTTTCCTGACTGAGGGCGTCTGGCAAGTTAATGGCAGGATCAAATTTTGGCTCCCAGGCAGGTTGGGCCATTTTAAGGGGCTACCCCAGCTCTTCTCCAGAACACATTTACCCTGGCAAAAAATACTCTCCCTGCAAAACTTAATAAAACTGATGACATGATAATAACTGGAGTGCATGTGTACATAGAGGGACAGATGGAGAAAAGGCCTTTGATAAATAATCACCACTGCTGAGGACCAAATTACCCAGCATACAGATGGAGCCACGAGCCCAGAGATGAAGTATCTAACCTAAGATCACACGGTCAGGGCTTCCTGACATGACTGTTTTGGTGTAATTTGTGGTAGGACACACAGCACAGGGAGTTTCTGAGGGCACAGAAGGGAGGCCCTTTGCTCAGCCCCATCTCCAATTAGGGCACTTTCACTTTGCCTGGGTCAGATCAAATGCAGAGAATAGCTCTGCCCAGCAGAGTTCTGTGGGCACCATGGGGCAGCTCCATCACCTTGTTTTCACAGCAAGATCCCTGTATTTGGAGTTAGGGGTGGGTCAACCCTTCAAAGGATCCTTTAGCTCCTCCACCAGTGGACATTACAAACAGAGATCAGGGAACAGGGGAAGGGTTCTGTTTAAAGCAGTAAACTATCTAAGACAATAATTTGTACTGTTTCTTTGAATGGAAGCACAGAATTTTTATTAAGAGGCCTCTTATTTAAAAAAAAAAAAAAGAGGCCTCTTATTAACATCTAGGATTCCATAGCACCTAGCTTGAAAGATGCTAGCATACATGTTAGCATGTCTTATTCAGAATGTCAATGCCTGGCAAAATAGTTCAAGAAATGATTTCTGAATTGGGTCGACAAAACTGGATTCCCGGTTTGGCCCTGAACTTCCAGCAGGACAAGGCCCACACTAGAAATGTACTTGGCTAATTCCCCACACTCTTCCCCAAGGCTGTGGCTATCCTGGCCACACCCTCCACGAGGCCTTGGCAAAGCTCTGCCAAATTGATTCATACTGGCCTGCTGGGACGGCAGGAGAGTGGAGATGAGGGCACAGCCACAGGATCTCACTAGAGCCTCACAGAAGTCTGAATAAACTCCATCGTGCTAAGGCCTCTTGGCTTGAAATGTCCCTTTTCAAAGTATCGTACATCTTGCAGTTCAAGATGGGGGATGGCTCTAGACACCCCAGGGTTCCAGACCCAACTTTAGTGGCCATGCCTCCTCAAATGCTCTGGAAGCTCAGCAAAACCATTTTGCTGTTACCATGACCCCCTGAAGGTTGGCTTTATTCTCCTTTACAGACAGGAAACTGAGACCATGCTCAGAGAGACCAGTGAACCCAGGTCATTGGACTCTGTGTCCAAGGTTCTTTCTATGGCCTTCACTCCACTTGGCATTTGGCAGATAGGATTTTAATTCTGACAGCTTTCCGTGGTTAAGCGGCCTTTATCCAGCTGCAGCAACAGCTCCATAAAGGGAAAAGGTTGCTCAGACTGCCTTAACACTAAATCCTAATAACTCACAGTAAATGTTGATGCTTCTTTTGACCATCATGTCACTAGCCTATACACATCTATTCACGACCCCAAATTATTAAATGTGTGAAAACTCTTTCCAAATGAACTAATTCAAAGTCAACACTCATTCCGAGACTTTTGTTTGTTGTCAGACAAGGCAACAAGTTCTGCTGGGTAGTCCTGTGAATTGAAAATGTGAAGGCTCTAGAAGGCACAGGTAGGGAACTGAGATGGGTTTGCCTCTGGGGTTTCAACAAAACCCACTAGGTATTGGTTTCTGGATTTGAGGGGTAAAGGTGGGCTTGGATGGTATGGACAGGCTTTGAGCTATCTGAATCTCCCAACCTTTTGTCCCCAAACTGGAATTTACAACCGTGGTCTATTTATTTATTTGGCTACATTTTGAGTAAGAAACACTGCTCCCTCATTCCCCACCCAACTTAACGATTTCCAAGTCTGATGACCACTAGACTGTGAAATATACAGATGCTCAGACAACAGCAGAAATTTAAGAGTAATCTAGGGACAAAATCCAGCAATCTGACAAATGATCCTAATATCTAGCTGGAGCTAAAAACCACTGCACAGGTTTCCTTGCATTTCTGTACTGAAAACCTTTGGCTGCCCACCCTCCACCTCCCCATTTTTTCGACTTGGGATCTTCCGGCTTTTCCCAGAAGTTGCAAGGCTGTGGCTGTTTTATCTGAGACCGCCAGAGACATGAGACAGGCTCTTCAGAAACTTGCCAGGCTCTCTTAGCAGACTTACCAAAACTACTAGGTTATAAAATAATAACTCTCCTTCAACTTCTGGGTACAAAGCAGACCTGCAAGGATGTGGTACGTAGTAGGTGCTGGTAAATACTGGAGGAATAAACAAATTTAGCAGCATCTTCTAGTGGATTGGTCATGTCTTCTGACATTGGCTTTCAAGCTTCTATACAAGCAATTGGCTATGCTGGTGCAGACTGGTGAAGGAGACTCTTCAGATTCCTGTGTAGTTTGTCTCTGCTGATTTCAGTTAGCTCATCTTCACAAAGCCCCACACATTCGGCTATCAGATCCTCAGATATACATCAGTCACTGACCACAGGTGTTCACTGAAGCCCTACCACGTACCCAAGAGTAAGCTATCTGGCCCCCACACTGTTATTTTTTTTGGACAATTTGATTGATTTCAGTAGCAGAGATGGTTCTTCTGAGGTCTTGATATAGCCCTTGAATGTATTTTAAAGGTATGATAAACAAAATATTCAAATACAATATTCCATATGCAAGTGAGCAAGTAGATGACTTAGACAAACACATGTCATTTCTATTTTGAATAGAAATAGAATTTACAATTTTTTTTTTAAAAATTGGAAGTCAGGGATCCCTGGGTGGCGCAGCGGTTTGGCGCCTGCCTTTGGCCCGGGGCGCGATCCTGGAGACCCGGGATCGAATCCCATATCGGGCTCCCGGTGCATGGAGCCTGCTTCTCCCTCTGCCTGTGTCTCTGCCTCTCTCTCTCTCTGTGTGACTATCATAAAATAAAAATAAAATTTAAAAAAAAATTGGAAGTCAGAAAATAAAAAACTGGAAGCCAGGTTGATCTTATCTGAAGAATGTTCCCAACATTCCTGTCTTCCCACTAATGAGAAACTCAAAAGAGGCTACATCATAGGAGCAGCACACATTCTGAAGACCAATACTCTCCCCGTGAGAGAAGTGAACTCCACGAGCCTTTCCCAGCCACAGCAGTCTTGCTAGCAACACGTTAAAAAAAAACCTAACATTCCATCCATAGTCCAACTTGAGCCCCCTCCCCCCAAGGAATGCTATTCTTGGCAAGAGATCTTCCAAAGGAAATGACATCCGCAGAACCTCTAACCATGAGGTCAGGGAAAGATGAGGCAGCTGAAAACTTTTCAGTCCTTTCTTAGACCCAAGTTACAGAAACTTAACAGAGCAATAGGATGGGAGCAATCTTAGTAATAACTAAGGGCAAATGACTCAGGCATTATCCCTCCTGAGTTCCATGGTAGGCTCTGATGTGTTTTATAAGGCTACTCAGAGTTCCCATTCACCTGGCTGCTCAGTTAAACCAAAGGAATTGATTAGTCTCCCTTAACACCTTTATAGATGGGTTTTATAACTTATCCTCATCCTATCATCAAGTTTTTTTTTTTTGGGGGGGGGGCTGGGTACAGTATACTTTATTGATGGTACATGATAAGGTAGGGCTCCCCAAGCACCTCATCAAGTTTTATCAAACACGTTTTGTATGTTCTGAGGCAACAGCTATGAACTAGACAAAATTCTTGAGCTCTACATATTCAAGCCTAATTCCTTGTGCCTGTGCTCCAGAAATTCTACTTGCAGACAAGAAGCAAATTTATGGACAGAAAAGTGAAGGAAGCGGGTCCCTGGGTGGCTCAGCGGTTTGGCGCCTGCCTTGGGCCCCGGGTGTGATCCTGGAGACCCGGGATCGAGTCCCACATCGGGCTCCCTGCATGAAGCCTGCTTCTCCCTCCGCCTGTGTCTCTGCTTCTCTCCCTCTCTCTGTGTGTCTCTCATGAGTAAATAAATATTAAAAAAAAAAAAAAAATGAAGGAAGCTCAATGGTGACAATCCCTGTATACGACATCTAAAGCACAAACAACAAAATGAAAAACAAGTGAGACTGTATCAAGCTAAAAAGCTGCACAAAAAGAAAAATCAACAAAGTGAGAAGACAACCAACAGGATGGGAAAAATTATTTGCAAACCAAGTACCTAGATAAGGAGTTAACATCCAAAATATATAAAGACCTCCTACTACTTAATAGTAAACAATCTCATAAAAAAAAATGGGCAAAGGGAACACTAACTAAAAAAGATACATGCACTCCTAGGTTTACTGCAGTTATTATTTATAGTAACCAAGATATAGAAGCAGCCCATGTATCCATCAATAGATGAATGGATAAAGATGTGGTATATATGTACTATGAAATATTATTCTATCAATCATACACAAGAATGAAATCTTGCCATTTGCAACAACATGGATGGACCTGGAGAGTATAATGCTAAGTAAAATAAGTCAGAGAAAGACAAATACCATATGATTTCACTCATATGTAGAATTTAAGAAACAAATGAACAAAGGAAGAGACAAAAAGATTCTTAAATACAGAGAACAAACTGGTGGTTGCCAGGAAGGAGGGGGTGGAGGGAAGGGTGAAATAAAGAGGATCAAGGGGATCCCTGGGTGGCTCAGTGGTTTCGCGCCTGCCTTTGGCCCAGGGCGCGATCCTGGAGTCCCGGGATCGAGTCCCGCGTCGGGCTCCCAGCATGGAGCCTGTTTCTC